TATTCCTTTTGATGGTATCCCACATGACCCTTAGGCTTTCTTCATTTTGTTTTGATCTTTTTTCTGATTGATCCCTTTCCAAAGAAGTATTCAGATATTTGTCTTCAATCTCATTAATTCTGTCTTCCATTCAGTCAATTCTACTCCTTTGCCCTTCCAATATGTTACCTATTTCTGAAAATTTATTATTAATTTTCTGGATTTCTGTCTGTAGATTTTGAATCATTTCTAATTTTTCATTTATTTTGTCATTTTGTTCTTGTATTTTTTCCCAAAATTTTTCTAGGGTTTGTCTGTGTTTTCCTTGGTCTGTCTCTCAATCCTTTTAAGATACCTAAATATAATTCTTTTGAATTTCTTATCAGAGATTTCCAATGCTTCTGCTTCTTCAGGGATGTGTTCTGGTTCTGTGTCCTGCTCCCTTGTTTCTACCACTTTACCTTGCTTCTTTGTGTGGACTGTGATGGTCTGTTGTCTGAGACATTGTGATGTTGTATTTAGATCTCTGTTTAACTGTTTGTGAACAGCAGCTAAGGGTGTGTCAGGCTCTTCCTGGTGGTTGTCTATTTTTGGCCTGTTGGTGGAGAAGGAAGTGGTGGTTGTCACTCAGTAAATGAAGCTGTAGGAGGTGTGGGTGTAGTTGTGTCCTATGGGGACTTGAGTTCTCCCACTCAGTTAGACAAAAATAACAATTGAATAATAATCAGAAAAGTAAATGCAAATGGACAAAAAACACACCATGTAATTCACACAGGAACAGTAACCAAAAAAAAGAAGGGGAAAGGAAAAAAAAATTGCAGTATCTGGGGAGTGGGTAATAAGAGAAAAAAGGTAGAGAAGGGGAATAATGAAGACAAAAATGGACAAAACCCAAAAAGATAAACAAGGAATGGGGTTAACCAGGAGAAAGAAAAATTTGGAACCAGGAACAGGGAAAAGAAAAAAAGCTGTAAACTAGAATCTGGGAATGAAAGAATAAAGAATAATAATAAAAAAGACAAAAGTAATAATAATAATAGTAGTTTTAAAACAGACAAAAACAAACTATAAAAAGAAAACAGAAAGAATATCAGGGCAGGGCGGGGCAGGGCACCCAGCCTCATCTGAGCACACAAACTGGGATGGAATTCTTGCTGGCTTAGAAGGTGGGTGGGGGTGAGGGATGGCTACACCTCTGTTCACCAATAGGGTTTGGGATATAAGAGTAACAAGGGAGTCTCACACCTTTCCAGTTGTCCAGGTCTGGAATGTCCTTGGTGTTCCTGGCAAGTGAAGCCTCTTCTTAAGTCCCTGGAATCTGGGGGAATGCTGTTGCTTTAAATATCCAAAATGGTCAAGCTGCTTGTAAACATTCAAAATGGCTGCGTCCTCCAGCCAGGCAAAAGTCCATAGTTCTGCCCACCTTCCTCTTCACTGCTTCCCTTTTTATTCATCAGCCACCAGAGCAGTCCTCCATGCAGTCCCTGGCTAGCAGGGCTGATTTTTAGGTTAATTCTTAGGTCCTACCACCACTCGGCAGTATCCATGCTCTCTGTGCCATCAGGATCACTGCCAGACTGCAGCTCCGTATGTCTCCTTTTTTGGTGTTTTCATGCACATTCTAATGCTAGTTGGAGTTTAGTCGACCTCTATATCTTTCCCTTCAAAGCTCAGGTGTTCAGTATTATCTTCTGTATCTGTGTTAACTGGTCCCCCTTTTCTTTGTTGAAGAGGGTCTGTGCAGTCTTTCTGCCTATTCTGTCATCTTACCATAGAGCCCAGTTTTTCATAAACTTAAATTATTTTAATATATATTTTAAATAACATTTCTCTTTCTCTCTTTTTTAATAGCTTTTGGCAGTTTTTCGATTTAAAGTGTTAATACTTGCATATGCTGTGTGCAAACTACGCCATTGGTGGGCAATCGCGGTGAGTATGCCCTGGATGAGTGGTTGATCTCTTCTAATGCAGATGCTCAGCACCTGCTCACACAGCTTTGAGCTGGCATAAGATACTGGTTAAATCTGGATTGAATTCTACAAGTCTTTTTGATCTCCTTCCCCCCTTTTCAGTAGATTTTATACTCCAGGGCTTCTTTGCGATGTTAATGAGTAATTAGATTCATCTCTATAAATACTGATCCAAACAAGGACTCTAGAGGACCAAGAGTAATTATTGACCAAGAACCATTTAGTCTATTTTACAAATAAGAGATGAAATCAGTACCACTGCCACAGGAATACTTGGAAATTTTCTTGTTTGGTAACAACTCAGTGATTTTTTCTGAGTTAGACTGTACTAGTTTTGATAATGTCTCCTCCACACATAATCCTCCTCTTTCCTGTTTGTTTCCCTATGGTCAATCTTAAAGGGAAATGTCCAGTTCTCTTTTTTCTTGTTACCTGCCCCTCTCCCTTTGAAGGTAGTGACTTTTTACTCATCTGTTTTCTTGCACCTAGAACACTGCTTCTTGTTGTTGTTGTTGTTATGTGCCGTTGAATTGGACCCAACTCATAGCGACCCCTCCTTGGGTTTCTGAGGTAGTATCACTACGGAAGTAGATTGTCCAACCTTCCTTTGGAGGAGTGGCTGGTGGGTTTGAACTGCCAGCCTTCTGGTTAACAGTCAAGTGCCTTAGGCACTATGCTACCAGAGCACTGCTTAGCACATGTTATTCACCCTCAATGAAAATGTATTGATTGAAAGAAGAATTATAAGCTATTCTTTCTCAATTATTTCTGCCATTTCCACCAATGGAAATAAACTCACCTTTTTGAGAGCTCTAATAAGGCAGGTTTATGGGGGAAATGTCAAGCTATCAGAGTAGAAAGAAGTGCTGAGGAATAACCTGCAGTCTAGCAGTTAGATAGACTGTGTGGGCTCTAGTTTGTATGTAGGGTGGGCTTGGGCTTGACCAATTAGGAAGGGGATCTGGGTGGCTCTGCTAAGGTGGATTCCACCAGGGCCATGTCTGCTGGGCCATCTCCCTGATCATTCACAGAAACGTAGGACTGAGATTAGAGTATCTGCTGAGAGAAAGCTCGCATTCATAGATGTAGTTTGATGGTCTTGGCCAGACTTGACTCCATTTTCTGAATACTGTTTTATGTACTAAAATAGCTGTGAGGATTATACCTTCCAAATTGTACCCGAAAGTCTCCATAATGTGTATCAGTGTTTGTCAGACGACCCGTCCTGTTTATTTCAGGGATGTGGTTGACACAGAGCTTTCTGTGAGAGTTTTAAGAAATTATCTGGAATATCTACTTTCACATATTAAACAGATCAGATTTAGCAAACCCATTTTATTGTTTCTGATACTTGTTTTTAAAAATCCTTGCAGGGGGAGTCCAGACAGCTGGAAGGAGAAGTCAGCTGGCACCTAAAGAGCAGTTAGGGTCAGCCTTTAAAATTGATTAGTATCAGCATGTAAAAGGCCGCCTCTACCAAGCAACTCACCTGTGTGTGGTGGTGGTGGTGGTGTCTTTTCTTAACCAGCACTAACTTTGCAACTTTGTTAATACTTAATGAACATGATAGATGTTTCCTGGCTTCCATTCAGTCCATCAAGGTTGCTGTCGGCATTTACTTTGGTTGGGTTTCACTCTGCTAAAAAAAATATTTGAAAATACACATTTAAAAATAATACTGAAAAATATTAGATGGAGTGACATGGCCTAGAAACTATGGGATTCTCTTGGGCTTTACAACCCCTAGAGAGAGCCCTGCCTATGGATTTTACTGATCCTTCTTTTAAGCAATGATAGTGGGTTCAGATGTTGTTTGTACCTTCTGATTGGCAACACTTAGTTTCCCAACATGGTAACATGCTAAAAGGCGGGAGAAGGAAAACCACAAACAGCCTGTGAGAGACTGAGTGCCACATAGAAGCCTACTTTGCCCCAAACTGGGTTTTACGGGATAGAGATAGATTGACATGGAAAGGAGCCAGGCTCTGGGCCAAGCATGGCTTTTGTAGTTACCCCTGCTTCTGGTTCAGATGGGTGACAGTTCTTATGTGAGAGACATACCTTCACAGTATGAAATGCCTAATTCAAAGGTACCGGATTATATGTCTTTCAGTTGACGACTGCAGTGACCAGTGCCTTTTTATTAGCAAAAGTGATCCTCTCAAAGGTACGACTTCGCACTTTCTCTGGACAGTTACTGTCTATAATGACCAAGGCTGATTTTCCTCTGTGAACCCATGGTGACTACATTTCCCTTTCCCGGTGGTGTCTCTTCTTCCAGCTTTTCTCTCAAGGGGCTTTTGGCTATGTGCTGCCCATCATTTCATTCATCCTTGCATGGATTGAGACCTGGTTCCTGGATTTCAAAGTGTTACCTCAAGAAGCAGAAGAAGAAAGCAGTAAGTTTCTCTCAAAATTACTTGCTATGATTGATTGGGTACTGAGCTGGAAGGATGTCTTGATTTGAGTGGAGCTGCAGGTTGGTGCAATTAGGTCACACATCTCCATCTTCAGTGGCTGTAGCAGAAATCAAGAGAAGCTTTGGGTGAAAGGATACTAAGAGAACATGGCTCCTCTTGCCAGCTGTTGGGCCAGGAATATAGTGTGAACACTGATGAAAAACACATTCAAATGACAGTAACAAAAATAACCAACACCTCTTTCTTCTCAGATGACTTGTTCTTAATAATAATGATAGAACACTAAACATTCCCTGCATATAAATAGAACTTCATTGTTTAGAGGCAGAGAAAACTAAACCAATTTTGAGTGAGCTGAGGCAGCAGTTCTCTAAAGCCTCAGATTGCTACCCAGATTGGAAAGAGGCGAGGGCTTTGGACGGTCCATAATTAGAACAGTGTTGAGTCTCTACCACTGGGACTGTTTGCAAATTAATAATAAAGACAGAGTCCAAAAGAGGAAGTTAGCAAGCCCAAGAAATGCTTAACCATCTCAGACTTCCACCATCTACTGTGAGTAGCAGGGTGATAACTTGTATTATGTAATAGGGGGACCTGCCAAAGCCATGCTAATCTCACTACATGGCCGTGGGCATCCCAGCTTCCTATTAACTAGGAAGGCAAATGATTGATTTTCATTGCTAGTTCTAGGCTAAGATTCTTCTCCACAAGATAACATTAGTGGAAGCCCCCTGGACTTACCTTCCCTCTGGAGATTATATAATCAAACATCACATCCGAGACCCCTGCAGTTTCAAGATGTGCCATGTTTATGCCTCTGTCAATCATTGGCTCTTTTTTGCCCTGCCTAATAAGAAAATTTATCTTGTATCTTGTTAAGCATGATTATAATAGCTTCAAGAAATGGGGGAAAATATCTGTCCAAGTAATTTTGTTTCAGTAAATCAATTTACAGAGAAGAAATCTATAAGAACAAAGTTATGATTCAAAAGCAGATTTTTTTTTAAAAAAAACGTATTAATCAGATCAAGATGTGTCTTCTTTCTTGTAGCCTCTGTTCCTTTATGAAAGCAGATTGTAGACAAGGGACAAGTAAAGCTAATGGGAGTCACTTTTTTATTTTATATAATCAAATTGAACTTTATCAGCAACATACTAAATATTAATATGGATGAGGCTGGAATGCTTTTATGATTAAACCAAATTCAAAGTAACCAGTAAGATGGAACACAGATTAATGAAAATTTGAAAAGCAGCATTTGTTTTGGCTGTCACTAGTACATATTACACACATTTGGCACCTGCTGTTTGGCCTGCTGCTTCCTGTAACTCTTATCTTTACACAGCCTACAGCCAAGAAACTCAGTCACCATGGCTGTGCTCGTCCTGTGGTACGTTCTTGAGCTGTCCACATACTTCCTTCTCTTTTCTTTTTTTTTTTTCCTTAATATACTTCTTTTCTGAGGGGAACTTTTTATTGCGTGTTTTTTCACCGTCTTAAATATATATTTATAAAAGACTGTGTATTTTATTACACTATACATTGGCATTTCTCTTACCCAAATCCAGACAGACAGTAGACTGCTTGTGCAAGCTGCCTGGGTGTTTTCAATTTTGTTTTGGGTTGGTTTTTGGTTTTTGATTGTTGATTTCTGTAGGGAAGTAAGTATTCCCAAGGGAAAGATGCTATAAATAATATGTCAAATAATCTGAGGGGTAACATAAGGCAGTTGTTTAAACTTACAGTACTGGTTCTTAGTTTATTAATGAAAAAAAATTCTTTTGGTAGAACGGTTGAAAGATTTTTAAAGTACCTCTTTTTACTAAGACTTTTTTTAATGTGATGATAACACCGTATACATTGTGCTTTAATCTTGCAAGAAGCTACCACACAGGTAACATCATTCCCAGCATCTGAATTTCTTTCCTTCCAGGACTCCTACTAGTTCAGGATGCTTCAGAGAGGGCAGCACTTATACCTGGTGGTCTTTCTGATGGTCAGTTTTATTCTCCTCCTGAATCTGAAGCAGGTAAAAAAACTTAATTATCGTTTGAGTTTTTCTTCATCATTCAGAAACTTGCCCTGTGTACTCACTTGTTCTGTCTGTCTGTTTCTGACTCTCTCTCTCTCTCAGTGCACTTAGCAAACATTTCATATCCCAGGCACTGTTGTTAGATGTCGTTGAGTTGACTCTGACTCATAGCGACCCTCTGTATTACAGAATGAAACTGCGCTAGAGAGATGAAAATAAGTAGCGTGGTCTTGAGACTAGTGGTGAGACTGAGAGATGTAAATAAGTGTGTGCGATAAAGGAGCATAGACACTGTAGTGTAATAGGCATCTTAGAAGACAAGCAGGCAAGGGGAAGAGTCTTTATTACCTTTTTCCCTTACACTGACCTTCCTTCAGGATTCCCCAGGTCAGAGAAGAGTGGCACTGTCCACCCACTTGCCCAGATCAGAAACCGGAGCCTCACTGAAGACCTGATAGCTCACACCTCATCACCCACCAAGCCCTGTTGATTCTCCCTCCTTCATTTTTACCCCTTTTACTTTATTTGAACTGAACCACTTCCTATCATCTCCAACTTTTCAGATCAGCATTTCTTGCTTCAAGTCTTGCACTGGCCTCTTAACTGACTCCCTGCCTATAATGTTGCCTTTTCCCCAGCCAGCTGTCAGAGGGCTGTCTTACTGTTAACAGTTGCTGACATTTTTAGTAAACATCAAGTGCTGTTCTAAAGACTTTACTGATATTGACTTATTTACTCTGTATAACTGTATGAAGGAGTCCTGGGTGACAAAGCAATTAAATAGTCATCTACTCTCTGAAAGGTTGGTAGTTCAAGCCCATCCAGAACACCCCATAAGACAGGCCTGGCAGTCTGCATTTGAAAGGCCTAGAAAACTCTGTGGAGCAGTTCTACTCCAGTTGGATCTCTGTGAGTTGGAATTGACTGGGCAGCAACTAACAACAATAATGCTATAGAACCACTCTAAGATGTAGAAGTGTTCTTATCCCGATTTTGGAGAGGAATAAATTGACACACAGGTGAGTAATTTGCACAACAGTACACAAATAATAAGTAATAACAGAGTGGGGATTTGGACTCAGGCTCTAGTACTCAAGTCTGTGCTTGTAACTACTAAGCTTTATGGCCTTTCACTGTTTATGAAAATGCAAATTGATTATGTCATTCCCCTGCTCAAAAGCCTTCAGCAGCATCAAGGATTAAGGATTCAATAAAGTCATAGATCCTTAGCCTGGCAGAAAGTACCTCTGTGACCCACCCTTCCCCACTTATTCAACCTCCTTCTTGTTACTCTCTTGTGTTCTTAACTTTCTGAAAATGCTTTTCTCCAAAGGCTCCAAGCCATTGTACGTCTTGGTTTTTCTACCTGTAACCCTACCCCCTCTGTAATCCTAGTCTCCACTCACATGTTCAGAAGGCTTTTACCCCTTACTCCCAGCTACCCCCTCTCCCTGGCAGTTTTAGTTAGCGTGCCCTTTGCGTGTTCTTTAGGGCCTCTTCTACAACCTGGCTTTAGCAGTAACCTGGTCTCTTTACTACCCCTTGGATAAACTTGAGTTGAGGATCGTTGTTTTTATTGTTGTTAGCTGCCATCAAGTCATCCTGGACACATGGTGGGTGGCCATGTGTGTGACAGAATGAAATGCTGCCTAGTTGTGCACCATCGCCGTGATAGATTATGCATAGACCATTATGATCCAGGGGTTTTTCATTGGCTGATTTTCAGAAGTAGGTCACCAGGCCTTTCCTCCTAGTCTGCTTAATCTGGAAGCTCCTCTGAAACCTGTTAAGCATCATAGCAACACACAAACCTCCCGTGACTGATAACATGGATTGGCTGGGAATCAAACCAGGGTCTCTCCTGTGTGAGGTGAGATATTGTACCACTGAGCCACCACTGCCCCCTGGGTTAGAGACTACCCTATTAATATTATTCCCGCATTAAGCATAATACATATTTTAAACACAAAAAATATACTAAAACTCATTCTATGCTGAGAGAGCCTTGTGAATGATCAAAGGCATGGCAGTGTGAAATGTCAGCATATTAGGGGAACTCCACATACCTTGATATTCTGGACTATTGATGTTGGCTCTAAAAGAAGTAGAAAGCATACAAACATAGAGCCAAATGATAAACAGATAGGAATTAGGAGAAAAGCTGTTTCTAAGCCAACAGAAACTAAAATTAAGTATTAAACTTTCCATTATCTCATTATAAGGTTTATTTTATTCAGCTGTTTTAAAGGTCATAGAATTTTTTCTTTAAGAAAAAAGGAAGTTCACATTATAGTTCATGCTTTTGTATAGCCACTTCTTTTTCTGAGATTAATAGAATTCTCAGTATGAATGTAGTTTTTTAATTAGAAGTTCAGAACAGCAGGATAATAATGAAGCAAGCATTCTTCAAGCTTCCTCTTTCTGTATCTCTTGGCCTCTTGCCTGTGACCTGTACCGCCACCTAGTGGTAGTCAGAAGCATGTTACTGGGTTAAGAAGCAAAACAACAAAAAAGCACTTCACCATTTGGGGCAGCTGCTTTGTTTAAGAAAGAAATGCCGATTAGTACTTGGCAAAGGAGTGTACAAAGTGGATTACTTTACTGTATTATGTTTGCATTGTCTGAATGTTGAATTTAGGAAAGAAAGAAAATTGAAAACTATTATTGGAAAGAAGGGTCTTATCAAAAGCAAATCTTTCTAGTTAGGCCAGTTGTTAAAAATTAAACAGGCCTAAAAATTAAATAGTAGTTGAAGTCATAAGCTTCCACTTTGCTGATACATACTGATTGACCTCTAGTACATTCAAGGACAACAGGGACCTTCTGTGCCTGCTCTGTTCTCTACCCAGCACCTAGCAGTGCCTGGCACGTAGTAGATTTATGATAACTTGGAATGAATAAATGAAAAGAAATTAGAAGCACTAAAAATGAAAATCTTAGCATATTTCCCTTGTAAAGAAATGTTTGAATTTCTTCAGTGTCACAGGGATTTGTAAACTTAGCATATTTTAGTAGATATACTTTTAAAGGATATAAGGTGTTTAGTTTGCTTATTGGTCTAACCACATTCTGTGTACCTGTGTATTAAATGGAAAATAAGGAGGAAGCTCAGTCTTCTTTAAGATTATTAGTTTGAGGTGCTTAAATGTGATCAGATGGCTTAAATGAACCAGTTGTGATGCTAAGGGAGAGTTAATTCTTCACCTTTTAAATGGTCAAAAGACTGACTTAAAATGAGGAATAGCTAAATTATATAATATAATGTATTTTAATCAAGTCTATAAAAAGTTAGGATAACTTCTGAGCTACAGCTAAGCACTTTGAGGACATGAGTCGCTAGGCCTGCAGGCTGAGGACCATGGTCACTGGACATCATGCTCAGTTGGCACAAGGTAACATACAGAAATATTATTCTACATCTTACTTTGGTGAGTAGAGACTGGGATCTTAAAAGCTTACAAGTGGCTTTCTACGATACAACTATTGGTCTCTCCTCTGGAGCAAAGAAGAGTGAAGAAAATTATAGAAGCTTGGAAACAGTTAATCCATAGGACTAATCAGACTAATGGACTAATGGACCATGGATTAATTGTTTCCAAGCTTCTATAATTTTCTTCACTCTTCTTTGCTCCAGAGGAGAGACCAATAGTTGTATCGTAGAAAGCCACTTGTAAGCTTTTAAGATCCCAGTCTCTACTCACCAAAGTAAGATGTAGAATAATATTTCTGTATGTTACCTTGTGCCAACTAAGCATGATGTCCAGTGACCATGGTCCTCACAGAAGTCTGGTGGTTCAAACCCACCAGCCACTCCTTGGAAGGAAGGTTGGGCAATCCTACTTCCGTAGTGATAACTGCCTCGGAAACCCAAGGAGGGGTCGCTATGAGTCGGGGCTGACTTGACGGCAAATAACAACAACAACAACAACAGTGGACCATGAGAACCTCAACCTGTATATAAGAACTAGATGGTGCCTGGCTACCAATGCCAGCCTCAGAAAGGGGTCAAAATTGGAGATCCTAGAGGAAAAAAAGGCTTTAAGATTCTGATTAGATGCCTGCTAAGAGTAACCATACATCCTAGTTTGCCTGTAACAGCCTTGGTTTATTCAAAGTGTTCCCTCCTCCTCTCTTTTATTAATGAGTTTTTGAAGGATTGATATTATTTTTTCTTTAAATATTTGATAGAATCACCAGTGAAGAAGCCTGGGTCAGGGTTTTTCTTGGTGGGAAAATTTTTAAATACCAACTCAATTTCTTTACTTATTATAGGTCTACTCAGATTTTTTGTTACCTCTTGTGTCCATTTTGGTAATTTGTATCTTTCTAGGAATTCTTCTCTTTCTTAAATTGTCTAATTTTTTGGCATAAATTGTTCATAACATTTCTTTATAATCATAATTTCTTTAGGATTGGTATTGATGTCACCTCTTTTTCTCTTGATTTTGTTTATTAGTATCTTCTCTCATTTTTTCTTGACAATTTTAGCTTGAGGCTTGTCAAATATTTTGCTATTTTTGAAGAACCAACTTTTTATTACATTGATTTTCTTTCTTATTTTTCTATTTTCCATTTCAATCTTCTCCATTCCAGTTTTTATTAGCTTCTTTTCTTCTGCTTGCATTGGGTTTAGTTTGCTTTTCCATTTTTAGTTTCTTAAGATGGAAGCTCATATGATTGATCTGGGACCTTTCTTATTTTCTGATCTAGGTATTTAAAGCAATATATTTTCCTCTAAGCATTGCTTTAGGGATATCTCATAAATGTTGATATATTGTCTTTTCGTTTTCATGCATTGCATGGCTTTCAACAAGTTGACCAAGATATATATACACATGACTCTCTTTGAATATTTTTTAATCAATGTTTGTTCAAATTATTAGAGGTATAGATGAGTATTTATCAACAAATTTTGGAAGTGTCAGCCTTTATTTCTTCAAGTATTTTCCTGACTCTTTTTTCCCCTCTTTTCTCCTCCTGTGTTCCTATTACATGTATATTGGTGTGCTTCACGACTCTGAGATCTGTTTGTTTCTCCTCAGACTCTTTATGTTTCTCTCTGATCTTCAGATTGGATAATTTCTATTAATTTTATCTTAAAGTTCATGGAGTCCTTTTTATACTGTCTCCAATATTCTTTTGAGCCCCTCTGGGAATATTTAATTTCAGTTAATATACTTTTCTACTCCAATTTTTTTTGTTTTAAATCTTTTTGGTAACTTATAGCTCCTTCTTGAGATTCTATTTATCCATTCATAGTTGTCATATTTTCTTTAATTATTTAAATATGGTTTTATATAGTTCTTTGAATATATTTTGAATAGCTTCTTTTTGAAGTTTTTATATGCTAAGTATACAGTGTCTAGAGACACATAGAGACAGTTTGTATTGACTTTTTGGGTTTTTGTTCCCCTGAAAATGGTCACATTTTCCTATTTCTTCACATGTCTTAACTGATTTTTCTGTTGAAAAGTGAACATTTTATGTAATATATTGTAGTAACTCCAGATTTTGATTTTTCCCTGAAATTTGGTACTGTTGCAGCTTGCCTGTTTAATAACTTGCCTGGGAGATCTCTCAAATCTTTGATCCCTGTAGTGCATGGCTGCTGATGTCGCTTCTCGATTTTTTTTTTCTAATGTTTGCTTTTATTTTTCAGCCTGACTTCCTAGGGATTGCCCCATGTCTGCATTGCTCCATAGTGATAGCTGGTACTCGGGCAAGGTTATGCTGAAAAGCACCTTGATAGAACCTTCCATCCTTTGCCAGATGGATATTTGTATGGGAAGGGAAGCATGTTCAAAGTCCAAGCCATTTTCAAGTCTTCCCTGGCCTTTGTTTTTTGCTGTTCTTTCATTCTCCTCTACACATGCTCACAGCCTTAGCTTCCAGAGCATTTGGGTAGCGTGGGCTGCTCCAAACACGTGCTAGTAGCAGCCTCTGGCTGATCGGATTGCTGATCCTTCCTGCTTGTCCACCACTGAGTTTGTCGCTTTGTCATTGGTGCTGCTATGTGTGGACATCTCTCCTCACTCTAAATCAAGGCTGTTCTCTTCAACCACACAGTTCACTACCAGTTGTCATAGTCTTCCCTATCCTGGGGACCCACCAGGCCCATCAAGCTGGGTGGTCCAGTGGAGGAAGAAGGTGGACGCAGCCCCAGGCAAGAACAGCACTGTTGTTCCCTGAAATCTGCACTTTTTCAAGCATAAACATTGATTGTTACATGCTTTTATCATTTACAGAATGTCAAAATGGTTACTTTAGTCAATTTATCTAGCTTTATAGTTGCTTTTCCTCACCTGGCCCTAGCTCCAAGTCTTACTAACATTCACTTTTAAATCATGTAAAGAGCATATGTTATTATGTTTCATTAGAAGCTTAGCTTTATTTAGGAGTCCAAGACATATCATCTCGTGTGGTTCAAATGCCGTTGGCCTGGCAGGTAGAGAACAAGCTGGAAGACAGGAAGACTTGGTGTGACTGTCTTCCTCAGAGTCCTTTCAGAGTGAGAAGACAGTTAAACCACACTGGTGTCTCTGTGATATACAGTAATTAATAGGCTGCAAAGTAAAGCCATCTAGGCCATTATATCCTTATCTGTTTATTTTATCGAAGTACTAACCTGAACTAAGTGGAATTTTTGAGGTTAAGATGTAGGACACAGTCTTTTCTTAAAATTCTCAGCCATTCTTTCTCCTATACAAGATTTGTTCTTGGCTGTATTCCAGGCAGACATTCTCATAAGAAAAAAATGATGATTTTGAAGTGGATCATCTAATAAGAGTAAAGCAGCAGTGGCAATAGACTGCTGCTTCCTTAAATGTGAATAGATTACATCCTTAACCTGCTACGTTGGTCTTCTTATAGGTCACTTTTATTTCTTTTCCCTGATTAAGAAACTAATATGTGCTTCTTATAAAAATGTGGAAAGAACCAGACTTTAAAATCACCTGTCCTACAGACCATTCGGGAGCTCTGATAGCGTAGTGGGTAAGCACTTGACTGCTAACCAGAAGGCTGGTGGTTCAAACCCACCAGCCCTCCTTGGAAGGAAGATGGGGCAATCTACTTCCGTAGCAATACTGCCTCGGCAACCCAAGGAGGGGTCGCTATGAGTCGGGTCCAACCTGATGGCACATAACAACAACAACAACAGACCATTCAGCAAAACTAGTGTTGACAATTTACTGCATTTCCTTCTAGTTGTCTGTGTGTAATTGTATATAATTATGGCCATACTAGGAGCTCTGGTAGCATAGTGCCTAAGGCACTTGACTGGTAACCAGAAGGCTGGCGGTTCAAACCCACCAGCCACTCCTCGGAAGGAAGGTTGGGCAATCCTACTTCCGTAGTGATACTGCCTGGGAAACCCAAGGAGGGGTCGCTATGAGTCGGGGCCGACTCGACGGCAAATAACAACAACAACAAATGGCCATACTGCCTATATTATTTATACCTCGATTTTAAGAACTATAATTTAATACAGTTAATTTAAGTTTATTGTAGAAATTTTGGAATATATAGGAAAATATTTGAAAATCATCTGGTTATTTTCTTTTAGTCTTTCTGATTTGCACATATATATGTATTTTTTAGTTTTTATCAAATATGATCTAATGGTACAGGCATACTTCATTTTATTGAGCTTTGCTTTATTGTTCTTTGCAAACATTGAGCTTTCTACAAATGAAAGATCTGTGACAACCCTGCATCCACCAAGGCTGTAGGTGCTGTTTTTACAACACCATGTGCTCACTTCATGTCTCTCTGTCACATTTTGGTAATTCTCAAAATATTTCAAATTTTTTCATAAAGCTGTTACATACTTAATAGACTACAGTATAGTGTAAATGTAACTTTTATATGCACTGGGAAACCAAAAAGTTTATGTGACTTGCTTTATTGTGATATTTACTTTATTGTTGTAGTCTGGAACGTATCTCTGAGGTATGCCAGTATATATTTTCTTTTACTTTATAGCGTATGCATTTTCCGTGTTAAACTGTCTATAAATATAATTGTAAATGCATACATGATAACTTTTATTTCCAGACATTTAGATCTTTTCCTATTGTTTGTAAGGAAGAGAGGAGCCCTGGTGACACATTGGTTAAACACTTGGCTGGTAACCGAAAGTGTGGTGGTTTGAATCCACCAGCCACTCGGCAGGAGAAAGCTGTGACAGTCTGCTCCCATAAAAATTACAGCTTAGGATACCCTTTGGGGTAGTTCTACTCTGTTACATGGGATCACTGTGACTCGGGATAGACTCTGCAGCAGTGGGTTTGTTTTTTCATTTTTTGGTTTTGGCAGGGAAAGACTATATAATGGATAATAAATACTGTTTTTTTAGGGATAGCTCCTAAGGAAATAATTCTGGAGTGCAATGCCTGGGTCAAATGTATGAATAATACAAGGTTCACAAGAAGCTGATTCAGAATGGTCCTGTCAGTGGTCACTGGCAGCAGCACATACGGGTGGCCACCTGGCCCCACCCTCATCACTCTCTCACTCACCTGGGAAAGTGATGTTAAACACTACATCGATTATATTCTTAGTACCAAAGCTCAGAGTTACTTGCATTTAAAAGTATATGCAAGCTTGTAAGCAAGGACATGGAAGAGGAATATTTGTTCTAGTACATAAGTTGAAATCCTTTTTGATTTAATGGAAGTGATAGAATATATCTGAAAGTTACTTCCTATAAGAAATAAAGTAAGTGTCTTTGTTAACCTGAATCTGTTGAGGATTCAATATATGTACCTCTCATTTAAAATGTTATTTATATAAGTTATAATGAAAAAAATTTGTTTACTACTTAATATTTTTTTTCTTCTTTGTTTCTGTACCATGTAGGATCCGAGGAAGAAGCTGAAGAAAAACAGGACAGTGAGAAACCACTCCTAGAACTATGAGTACTGCTTTTGTTAAAGTAAGTATTTCAGAATGAAACTATAACTACAAGGGAGTTAAATATGGAGAATTTGGTTTGAGTAGATTCAAAGTAAAATTCAAATAATGTGAGTGCAGGTATTCAGCTAGATTTGTCCTAATTACTTTCACTTACCAGTCATATTTTATTAATGCTAAATAACATTTTCTATATTAGTGTAAATTGCTGTCAAGTCAATTCCAACTTACAGAGTGACCCTACAGGGAAGAGTAAAACTGCCTCATAGGATTTCCAAGGCTATAAATCTGTCACATTTTTCTCCTGTAGAGTGACAGGTTCGAACTGCTGACCTTTCAGTTAGTAGCCAAGAGCTTAACCACTGCGCTACCAGGGCTTCTTTAATTTTTCACGTAACCAGAATTTCTTTGTGCCAGAAATGGTTTTAAATACAAATATCAATGCATTTATACTGGTGAGGACAACAACCCTATGAAATGTAAGTATTATTATTACCCCAAGTTTATACTTGAAGTAGCAGAGGCATAGAAGGGGTAAATAATTTATCCAAGACTGCACAGCTGCAAGTGGCAGAGCTGCACTCAAACCCACGAGTCTGGTATCAGGGGGCACGCTACCCAACATCATGTTGTCTTTTGAGTTACTTAGAGCTTCTGAGATGAAAGATGTTTTACTCAAAGCTAGAGTGCTTGATCCGCTTCACAGTAAAACACAATGTTAAATACCTTCAGAGAATCAAAGAAAAATGTTCTAGCCTCATACATGCAAGGCAGATAAGCATACAGCAAGTTGTAGTAACAGGATACTTTGCCTGATTATTTAATCACAGAAGGAAGATGCAGTTAATAGATTCCGTGTCCTTGGGCGACCAGGACAGAGGCCGACTGGCCAGCCGAAGCAGTGGAGTCCCGATGAAGGTTCTCGCAGAGCCCTTGTGCCTGTATCATCATCATCTGAGCCTAACACTCTTCAGCCCCTTCTTTCCACAACAGTAGTTTAGACAGAAAACAAAAATGTGGGTGTGTGCATAATTCATCCTTTCCATCCTTTTATAAAACACTTTAAAACAAAAGTTGGTATCCCCACACATGTGACCCTTTGGTTTATGTGTGTATAACATAGCCCATCTGCAGGGCACACATTTTGTTATAAAAATTTACGGCAAAACATAGCATTTTTGCCTTTTCGTTTTTTGGTTTTGGCAGGGAAAAACTATGTAATGCATAATAAGTATTGTTTTTTCAGGGATGGATCCTAAGGAAATAATTCTGGAGTGCAATGCCTGGGTCAAATGTATGAATAATACAAGGTTCACAAGAAGCTGATTCAGAACGGTCCTATCAGTGGTCGCTGTCAGCAGCACATACGAGTGGCCACCTGGCCCCACCCTCATCACTCTCTTAGTCACCTGGAAAAGTGATGTTAAACACTACATCGATTACATTCTTAGTACCAAAGCTCAGGGTTACTTGCATTTAAAAATATATGCAAGCTTGTAAGCAAGGACATGGAAGAGGAATATTTTTAGTAGTACTTCAAATATTTGTGTCTTCTCTCTCTCTTTCTATAGTGTGAAAAACCCTTACTGAAAGTCATCAGAGGAAAAGAAAAGTCTGGAGATGGGGGTCTGTCTCTGGAAAGTTAAAAATGGTGACCTCCACCTGCTGACTTCGTTGAACAGCTAGTAAAGAATTTATTTATTATAATACCTCACAGACATTGTACCATACCCACATTTAGTAGCCTGCCTGGGGCTGGTAGGATAATGTAATGATCCATTCTGCGTTCGGTGAGAGTGAATCTGATCTGTTCATGAATCATTGCAGAAAAGTCTTGTGCTGTATTCCTAATGAAAACACTTCTTAATATATTGACATAACACTTTTTTAGTAAATGAAGTACCTTTTTGTTTTGTGTCACAGAATGGATTTTTTTTTTTGTTTCATGTCTCATACTTATTTTATATTTCTTTTTTAACACGCTACATTTCTGTTGTGTTTTTTTAACTCACACACATGCACTCTTTATACGGTTTTAAAACATTAATAAAATCCATCCTATCAAAATGATTGTTTGTCATTTTTCTTGTTTTGCATCATGTATTTAGCCTAAAGTGTTACAATTATAGATATTTAAAAGGGGAACAAGGAGGGCCTGTGAATCTATGTAAAATGTTACCAAACATTTTGTATTGTTTTATCATAAAATACTGTCTTTCTCTTGGAAGGTATGGTTCCGAGTTAGTTATTTTGAACCCATACTATGAAATCATTGCTATTGTTTTTCCTTGTGTTTGGCTAATCTGAATTAAAAATGAACCAATTATGTTGTGAGCTATTTTTTTTTCACATGATTAGTCACAGCATGCTTGTTTTCTTGCTTTATTCATTCTGACATACAAGAAAAGCTTAGTTGTGTATAGTTCATGGTGCTGGTTTGGGTGGAAACTCACATTCTGTTTGGACCAAACTAAGTCCGTCTGTACTCATGCTGAGTGGGCTGGATAACAGAAATACAACAAGGAGGCTCATTTTGAAGTCTGGGTGTAACCAGGAGAGCAGGCCAAGGGAAATCTTCAGAGTCTGGCCTTGGGACCAAAGCCTCTAGAACCCAACGGGATTGTCACAGTGAGAGAGACCCATCGACATACACCAAGCCGATAGATGCCCATTGCAGAACATCAGAGCATTCATTTTCCCTGAGAAACAGGTCTTACCTGGCCCTGCTCGGTTGAACCAGTAGGATGTGACTGACCCTTACAAGAAACCAAAGTTCAGTCAGAAGTTGGCTCCATGGGTGCAGTCCAGGGGATTAGGTATATGATCTGAATGGGCAGTGAAATAGGCTGTACAAGCCTAAAGTGTGTGTCTCAATAGAGTCATACTCCCTTCCAGGAAGGAACAGCGTGGGTCTACGGGCCAGGTCAGCCATTCTGCACCATGTTGAGGGCAGAGGTGGGAACATGGCTGAATAGCCATCTTCTAATTCACTCTGCCCACACTCTCTGATAACGTCTTCTGTTAAGCCTTACTTAGCTCATCTCTGAAGTCAATTTGTTCCTTTAGAGGGACTTTATGTTGTTTTGCTGATTTGGTTTGTGTCATTAATCACACTGTTGAACTCAGGGTCTCCTTGTCTATTTTGAGGAAAGAAAACTATAGTTGTTGCCCACATCTGTAGTCTACCTATGATAGTAGACCTCTAGACCTGAGTCTTGTGTTAACCCGTCTACACTGAGGAAATGAAATGAGGAAAGTACCAGCATCGGAGAAGCATACCGTGGACACAAATAGCCAGTAGAGCACTGGACATTGTTTGTCCTGCAAGAAGTCCTTCTCACTGTTTACTTCATTTTGAACAGTGTCGTAAGAGTAGAACAAAGGTACAGTATTTGAACATCCAGCTTGCACAATAACTAATTGGGGTGAGCTTTGTATATAAAAAGCAGGGAACCCAACCTCGCCACAACACTAATTGTATGTTTGATGTCAGTCTCATACGTGTGTGTAGCTGGATATTTTATTTCCATTAGCTGTGGCCTTTTGAAAATGAGCAAAGTTAGTTGTGGTTTAACTGTCCTTATTTTATCTTATAACACCCTAGCCACCTCTCACGTACTCCCAACTAGGGGCTGATTTGGCTTTGAGCATTTTCCACGAATCAACCACATTTAGCAGAGCACATAAACAAAAGAAGCCTGAGAAAATAAAAACCATCAGCCACACTACCACTCTCCTGCCACCCACTGTCTCTCTCACAACCACTTCTGCTCCCCTCAATATACTACCTAGCAAGGGCAGCCCAGGTTCAGTTGGGGAAGGAAGGTGGTAAGAAGTTTGAAGCAGCAAGAGACGCTGCTTAGTATACCGTGCCAGTGACATTAGCTTCACAAACCTTTCAATGATTTGAAAGGTTCCCTCTTTGCTTCCTTGTTTCCCAGTGCAGAAATAGCCCCAGGTCTCTAAATAGAGGATTTTGTATTTGGCCTAAAGAAATTCAAGTTTATAAGAATCAACCAGATGTGAGTTTAATCTCTCTTGTATCTGGTGGGTCTTGTTTCTAAATGGGAACCCTGTACTTGGTTTCCAAAAGAATCTATTATACAAAAATTACTGAAGCTGTTTGTAAAAAAAATAATAACCTGCCCAATTTTAAGGAAGACATTGTTTTAATATATATTAAAAATTTAAAAGAATTCATTAGGAAAATACACAATCACTTAAACCAGTTTTTCACCTGCCTACATATCAATTGAATGTTTTATATTGCTGCCTGTAGGAATATACACACACACACAACCATGAATGATGTATTTGTTAGTATTATTTCTGGTAGAATGGTGCTTAAAGGACATGAGCAAATATTTCACAGAAAATAAAAAGTAAGTGGACTTTAAATACATGAAAATATGCTTATCCTCACAGTAAGAGAAAAGCAAATTTCAACGTCAATGAGAGAGTGTTTTTCACCTGTCGGGTTAGCCATCCTGATGTTTGACAGCACACTCTCACACATGTGGTAGAAGTGTCCAGTGATTCTCTGTGGAGACAAGGTGGTAATGTCCATGAATATTACAAACGTACATGTTCAAAATGACAAAAACACTATTATTTAAGCTTTTTTTTTTTTTTTTTAAAGATCAGGAATAAGCCAAAGGCCTATCATAGGGAATTGATTAAATAAGGTGTGGTATATCCACCAGTAGGTGCTTGGGTAGCGTTAGTGCCTAAGGCACTTCACTGCTAACCAGAAGGCTGGTGGTTCAGACCCACCAGCCACTCCCCAGAAGGAAGTTTGGGCAATCGACTTCCGTAGTGATACTGCCTCGAAAACCCAAGGAGGGGTCGCTATGAGTCAGGTTTGACTCAATGGCACATAACAACAACATACCCACCAGTGAAATATGCAACTCTACAAATCTCTATACACTGACCTAAGAAGAGCTCTAGGGTGTATACATGAAGAGAGAAGCAGAAAAATGTACATTGTGTACTGCCTTTGAAGAAGAAGCAGGCAGTAAG